ACTCGTTAAAAAGGACGACCCAGCTGTGATTTTACTTTATGACAAACAGGGTACCATTGCCGGCATGCAATTAGCAGTAAGTTGCATGTTCTAGTCTCTTTTCTATGTTTTTTTGTTCTTCTCTCTCAACTTTTAAACAGGTTCCCGACGTGTTCATCTCAGATAGGCATTACAAATTTTCAACACAGAAAATGTTCAATCGTGATCAAGTTGTCGGCATCGATGCTCATCTTCTCACCGCCTATTTTGTCAATCCACTCACCATTTGTTCGACAGGCCGGGACCCATCCAGTCTCAAACACGAAGGTACAGGTACTGGACTTTGGCTGCAAAATGGTACGGATCCAATCCATGATTCTATTCAAATTCCACTCTTTGAAAGTGGTCTTAGCCAGACCAAATGGGACAAGGGTCTCTGCTTTCCGTCGATGGGTAAATAAACAGTTCTTTTTCTCTTTCGTTCTTTGTATCCACTCTACTTCGGTTTAGGTAAACACTATTGGTACGACAATCGACTTGACTTGAACTGTGACGAAATCTTTCCCTCATTTCTCTTGTACAACAAAGGCAAATTGACCGGATTCGGATGGACTCTTATTGGTAAATTCGAATATACAAAACGAACTGAATTTCCGCCGTTGGCCACTGTATTGGTACGAGTATTTCATATCAACATTTTTTAATTATCATTGTATTATGTTCTTTCTATTCTAGGCATTTCGCGATCCAGTTCCGACATGCTTGAAACAAAAGTATCAAGAGACAGACGGTTTCACAACCATGCATCTTTACTTCAATACCGACACGATGAATCTTCTTTGTTGATCAGCGGATATTCTAGTATATCTCGAATAAATATAACATCATTCATCTTCTACTTTTTGTTTGTTTTACATCAATAGTTTTACTTATTAAAGGCCTTGATTGTTCAGAATATTTAATAAAGGTAGAGAAATAATTTTGACAGATGTCGGCTACATTAATAGTGTCGACGTACTCGTTGAACATGTGAGGAGCGAACCAGTAGCTATGGTGGAAGCTATCTGACAGTCGACTGTAGTTAATCGCATATTCTGCCAATGCCTTCGAATGCTTATGTGAATTTTTTCTAGAAACCCACATTACAGTAAAGTCTCCGCTAGATGGGCATCTAAGGGACTTTTTCAAATCGCCCATTTTTTTGAGATGACCTTGTAAGAGAGGTTTCATAGTGATGGTTGATAATATGTTTCTCGCACCCTGCACTACAAAGGATACTCCAACGTATACTATCAATCTGTCTGTAGACTTTCTGTTGTGCCATGTACTTCCTCTCATTACCAGATATTTTCTCTTCACCGGAGTTCATTTTCTATTTCCTTAGCAACAATAAAGCTTGCAAAAAAATCTGTAATTGAGCTTTGTTTGTTAGTTTTTGAACCCGATAAGCATCAGTCAGTTTTGATTTGCGCTGTGAGAGCCCAGATCCATCGGCATAGTCGTTGATCAATGCGAATTTCTCGTGGAGCGTGAGATAATGATGCGACGTCATTTCTCAATGATTTCGCCCAGCAATGTCAAACAACACGACAATTTATTATCTTTCTAATTCACAAAATGAGAAATGAGGGTATTTTCCCGTTTGGGGGTGTGGGTGTGGGTGTGGGTGTAGGGTGTGGGTGTGGGTGGGTGTGGGGTGTGCGTGTGGGTGAGTGTGGGTGGGTGTGGGTGGG